ATCAGGCAAATTTCCTGCGACGAAATTGTACATGTCTGGGTGACAAAATCACAGGAAACGAGGAGAGGGATGAACTAACCCTGGCGAAACCATTTCAACGGGCGGAATTGGTCCGACCCAACTAGCGAGCTTGCCCACCCAATCACCCCAGATTTTCACTCTGGCTAGTACAGCTAGCATTTCGCACCAGAAGACGATTAAATGACTCAATGGTAAAACTACAAAATAACAACGGCGATAAACGGAATAAGAAAAACAAAAGAAGCCAAAAAGGAATGAGGAAGCTACCAGCCAAGCCGGACCAGACACCGTCCGAAAACAAGTTATAGGGCTAAAGCTAAAAAAAACCCTTCTGATCGCAGGGAGGAGAAAGAGTATACGAGGAAATGATAAAAACCAAAACAAATAAAGGATCGTGATAAAAGTGGCTTTAATGACAAACTGGCAAGAAAACGAAAGAAACAGGAAGTATTACGAGCGTTTTCGCTTGAAACCGCGGTCCACGGGGGACCAAGAATTTCTCGACAGGTGTCCTGGTCTTCCACAATAATAACATGTAGGCGTCAGCCGTCTCTGGTGGGGAGGCGAAGTGGCCTGCAAAGAAGGTCGCTGAGCTTGTTTAAGAGCCTTCTGAACCTTCTTGGCAATTTCAACTTCCTCCTTGTCGCCAACAAGCTTTAGGAGGAGATGTTGAAAGGAAAGGCTGTACAGAGGAGGTCTGGTTTTGCCTTAAGACAACAGCAAAGCGGTTAGCTCTGGCGTCTCGCTTGTCTCTAACAAAATCCACCAGTTTTTCCCAGAGCGGCCAGTGTGGCATGCGGGTCATGATCAAAGATTCCAGCAGCGCGAGCTATATGCTGACGAAGGAGAGCTAACGCCGCGTTAACACTACCGGCATCATGAATCTGACGTAAAGATTGAACCTCCTTTTTCAGCGCAGTCACCACATCCAATTGAGCACCTTGCTAGAAAAAAAAGGACAACGAGAAGCTGAAAAAAATAGCATCTGGGTGTGCCTTCGCAAAACATTTTATACAAAACAATCGACCCTACCGCTCGACACATAATGAGATTTTTAATCGCGGCAGGATTAGCTCAGTCGGTCGCGGGTTCGATTCCTGGGGCGGGACCAACATTCAGGGTCTTAAAACAACTGAGAAATGAAGGCACTTCCTTTGCACTGCAAGCAGCTCAAGACCTTTGCGTAGTTCGGATGACCACGTAAAATGGCAGTTGGAGACGTAAAAATACTTTCCCCAATTAGCGCTTTCGTGCTAAATACCTTGACGCTCAAATAAAGTGCTTATTTATTTATTATACGCAAAGCCTACTAGGGGCTTAGTAGATCTTTAACGCTATTTCTACTCGGACTTTTCGAACGTGATTAGGTCCTGTTACTCCAAATATGCAAAGGCAGGAGAAAAACGTGATTATTCGTATCTCTTACACTCGACACACGAGCAACTCTGACGCCCGACACGCGAGCATTGCTAACACTCGACACCCGAGCAACACTTACGCTCGACACGTCATACGAGCTTCTCTTTACACACTCGAAACACGAGCACCTCTTTACTCGCTCGACACGCGAGCTTCTCTTTACACACTCGACACACGAGCATCTCAGTCAATATACGCTCGAAAGATGAGCGCGACAAAATTTGTGACTATTCTATGCGTCAAAGCAAGGGATTATGAATATTACATAAATCTGAATGCTAAAGAAATAAAACAGGAAATTAGAATTGTCAAAGAAAACTCTTCTAAACTTCCCTACGATTTTCTGAAGTTTGTTTTTTCACATTTCACTCCCCCTGCTCACCAGGTTAGGCTATTTTTCGCACAAAAAAGGAAAACCTAAAATTTTCGCATTCAAAAATGTGATGGAAAGAAGAATCAGAAAATTCTCTCCTTCGTAATACGTTAAATTGCATCTAATACTTTCGGGAAATTAAAATACTGAATCCCTCGTAATTTCGAAAAGACTCAAGATCCCCTAGAGGGTCTCAATGGGGTGATGGCTTTTACTCCGGTTATCGGCTAAAATGTCGGCTCTTTTACGGCTATCGGTTAAGTTGTTTCAGTGACGGTTAACAAAAAAGTTTAAAAATAATTTCTTTTGTTTCAAAGAGTTAAATATTAATAAACCTGTATTTTTTCGAACTTTAAAGCAAAATTAAGGTCTTAGGATCATCTCGGGCTGAAATAAGCTATTCTTTTGAAAAATTTTATCATTTAATAGATCATACTGCATACAGTATTCCATGTCTAATATTATTTTACGCATAGAAATGTCAACAGTCAATATAAAAATAATCTTTGTGAAAAAGCAAAAGGAGACACGCGAACGCTCAACTCAAGACCGGGCCGCGAATTCATTTATAACAGAAATGGCCGTTTTCACACTAGAGACGGATCATTCGCGTGAGAGGGGTTATCCGTTTGATAATTCGCGTCAGATAGATAATACGTCTTAATTTGAAAATGGAAAGGTTGTAATTTTGAATGAACAATCCGCCTGACTTTATCCGCTTTTGACGGACAGTTTGAAGATGGATTATCCGTTCCAAATAGCCTGTGTACAGCTGCCCCTTCCCCTCAGAAAAAAACTGAAAAGGGGTGTCTGTAGGGGAAGGGGGAGGAGGCGACTGTACACAGGGTAGTCTCAGACGGATGATCCATTTTCTAGCTCTAGTGTGAAAACGGCCAACGACAAAATTCCCGTGTCCAGTCTTTTTTATCATACAGAAAGGACTACACAGAACGACTGTCTGCCGTGACTTGTCCGTAGGCCTCATTATCCCGCGCGGCTAATGCATTCCGTGTCACGTGGTCCGAGCGAGTTTTGTTTCCTCAGGTATAACACGAAAATGCCTTGACCGAGATGTTGCGTGGGAAGACGCCGTACGTACAGGGACTAGGCATGTCAATGTCTACCGTAGCGTCAGAGGGAAACAGGGAATTGTTGTTCGTCAGCCACGTGTTTTACGAACAGTGACATCTCTGCGTGTTGTTTCACTAGTATTTCGAGGGCACGACCCCCTTAAAATCACAAATATTAATCCCCAGCAAGAAGCCTGATTTTCCCTATGGAAAAAACTTGGTTCTTCGAGTGAGCGGCGGAAATGGAGCCTAGGTCTAGGTCAACACCTAAAAGGAGCTTGGCCTAAGGTTCGTACGGAGTCAAAGTAGCCGGGAAATAAAAAAACGCAACCATAATTAAGTGAATTTTATCTTCCTTAAAATTAACAAGTCTACTAATTTAGGGCCTTCCTTCATACTAATTAAGTGCCTTGCCGCATACTAATTTAGTGCCTTCCTCCATATCTAATTAAGTGCCTTCCTCCATAATTAATGAAGTGGATAGTCGTTTCTTTTCTTTTGGAAGAACACAATAGGAACAATAGGCTTGCCTAGACTTATCCCGGCTCTTTTAACCCTGATTGGCTAATGTAGAATCTATTATGTGTTTAAAATAAAAGCGCGCCTTCCGTTCAACATTTTATTCTTGCAAGTCCGTTTGCTAGGAAAAAAGTCTTATTATCACCAATATTCTTTAGATTGCCCCAAACACGCAAGTCGAATCGAGCGCCCCGAGAATTTTGTAAGTAACTTATACTTTTGTTTAAACAACATGTTATGCCACGAAGTTTAAAAATTTCACGCATCATTTAAGTTCGTTATGTTAATAGACTAAGCTTAGATTTTCATTTGATCTATTAAACTATAACCAAAACACACGCACATATACACAAAGTGGAGCTGAAAACTCTCTATTTCAATTTTGTTTGACTATTACAGAACCGTTTTCTCCGCTCTATATCGAGGAAATGAAAAACTATTAAGAGTCTCAGGTTTCACGCACCTTTAGTCAGTTATATTAATTATGCGAGTTCACAAGCCCACCGTTGCATACAAATTAGCTCTGCAGTAAAAACCCCAAGGGAGCATCTTGACGTATTATTATAAAAACTCACAAAAAAAAACAATTAATAACTTAACAAGGATCAATTGAAACACGCGACTAATAATTGCTTGCAATGAAACCAGACACGTTTCTTAAGACACAAGAAATCAACTTTATGAACCTTTATTAAAATATTGCAAAAAGATTAGATTATAGATTCTATTAAAATGTTGAAAGAAGGCAAGCCATCCTTTTTTACATTGCGCACAATGTTTTACTTACCCCGCTCCCTTTTCAATTTTGTTTCCCTCCTCCTCCCTCTCCACAATTTTTATCATTTTCCCTCCTCCTCCACAATTTTATTATTTTCCCTCCTCCACCTCCACCTCCTCATTTATTCTATATATTTTTCCATCCACAAATACATCTACCTCCTATCGACCGTACATCGACCCTACATCGACCCCTCATCGACCCTACTCTCAACTTTTTTTAACACAGCTTCATGAATGGTGAAACTATATACCACCACCACCACCACATTTCTATTGTTTTCCCTCCACCACCACCACCACCACCTCCTCTGCCACCACATTTCTACAGCGTGAAAATTTCCGTTGCACGGGCCACGCAACTACGTCGATTGATCGTGGGAAATGCCGGCTAGCTAAAACTCCTGTTACAGTGAAACTAAAAAATAAGTAAAAAAAGTAATGGCGTTATTACGTTGCTATGGCGACTCCGATTGTAATAAAACCCAAATCATGAGAAATTTTCTTCTTTACATAATACAGTTGTGGTAACCTTTTTCCTATATCTTTATTCATGCTGACGTAGTTAATGCTCAAACGTGGGAGGTATCTCCCCTAAAAAAATCCAGTCGAGTCACCTTAAATACGACAAAAAACGCTTTGCAGACTATGAGTCTCGCTGCTTACGCAAGCAAGACCAATAATCTTCTGTTAAATTATCTATCGTGCGCCAATTAGGCATATGTACATTGTTGCAGTCAGGAACAAAACATGGTTAGGAACTGTGTAGCGCTGATAAGTTGATTACAATTAAAATTTGTCTTTGTGTTCATATGTGCATTGTGACCATTAAGAAGAAAACGCATTTAGTTAATATCCGGCAAAGGGAGTGACGGTGCATGACTGAAGTTCAAGACAATCTCGAGAATTTAGCCAAAAAATAGAACAAAATGCTGGTTTTTGTCGTCTGTGGGCTTACCCTATTGTTCACACCTAACGGTAAGTTCGAAGACCATTATGTTTCCCCGGCTCGAGGATCTTTTTGGAAAACAAAATTAATCCGTGATCATCATAATAAATATTTAGGCGGTGATGCATAACGACGAGAATATATAGAAAGTAGATTCGAAGAATTTTCAATTTCAGTCCTTCTTTGAAATTAACTTTGACAGTTTTTCCATGCAACTGCCTGCATACGAAATTTATGGCACCCCAATAGATATTTGAAACGAACGCATTGATCCGCGTTGCAGGTGCTTGTGACTGCATAATTTCCTCCCTTTCAAACTATATCGACCATTTATTTAGTTGTTGGTTAAGTAAGATCCATGCTCAGAGAGTCATGTTTGAAGCAAGCGCAGGTTAGTTATGAACTGAAAACTACATTTCAAATAATGCGAGGTCCTTCTCTGTTAACTTTTTTTTCTTGCCAAAGTTCATGAACTGGCCTTTTCAGTCATATTCTTAGTATCTGTTCTGCTCGCTTTTAAACGGCATATTCGCAAAAGTTTGGTGACACCAAGTACAGTGGAACCTTAATACAATGAATGACTAAGGGACTGCCATGTAAATATGATCGCTATAAATATGTTTACTTTATATATCAAGGTTCTTTTCCATATATTCTACTATTACTGGGGCGAAGAATATCGCTCGTTATTTATACCGCGCGACAAACTCGCGACAGTGAGGCTCAACGCGCCGTAGAAAACTTCATCAAACCGTGAGTAAAATAGATATTTTGAGAATGGACCTCTAGGGCCAGAGAAATCAACGCATTCCTGGTATTTCAAAGAAAAATGATCAGAGTTCCAAGATATTTTGATGGACGCTGTCGAGACGTTATTTCCTATTCAACCAAGCCTTGATTCAATAAACAAAACTAACTATTAAAACCTTTACAATTAATTTCGCTGAAGAAGGAAAAAAATCGAATTTTTTTCCTGTTCAGTCCAGTCAGTAGTTTAGAAAGTCAAGACACACCTTACCTCGGAAGAACTTGACGGTCAATTATCGTAAATACAATATTTTCTAAACCGCACCTCCTTCATTAAAAATAACTCCCTTTTATGGGAGACAACAAAACCAGACATTATCGAATCACAAATACTTTGTAAAAAATCAACCTTAGAATAAGATGCTAATTTTAGATGGCGTGTGGGGCTGGTGTAATTTCATTAAACTTTTTAAAAATATATAAAAATGAGATATGCCCTTTTCACAATCAAAAAGCGTTGAGTTCCTTTATATCAGTCGCCTGTAAAGTTTTATGATATACTGTGGAAGTAGTGTTATTGGCCAAGCTTGTTCAATTATGTCTAGGATTTACAAAATTAACGATTCTTCGCGATGGCCTAGCGAAAACTGCAAAATTTACAAAATTCGCGATTTTTGGCCAAAAGAAAAGAGGCGCTGCGAATCTAACAACCTGTTCCCCTTTCTTATGTATATGTAATCACATGGGCCCGAGGGCAATTAAGAGCGGATGTCTGTAAATATCGACCAAAGGAAGGAAAAATAAAATTTAAAAAAAATCCCAAAAAATAATGTAGACTACCCTAGGTATTCTAGTAACAAACATATAAATTTCAGGTTTATTGGATAAATATTTTGGCGATACGGCGAATGTCAAGTGCTGGCGATAAACGGCCTCCGCCAGACCGCCCCTGGACCGGGTGACGAAAAGACGGCGATTTCAATCGAATTCAACTATCACTCAACCCCAAAAGCTCTTATCGTATTAAAAGGGTTTTAATACACATGTTGAGAGGTCATGTTCTTGAATTGATCACAGATGGAATATTCTATGCATTTTTAAATATTTACAAAATTTAAAGACTTTCACCCGAGCAAAATACTGTTAAATTTCAAAGCCTAAAATCACATCCGATACATGATTTTTCAAACAGAAAAAGACGTTCCACATGAAAAAGCAATCTCTAAGCTTCTTTCAAAACCCTGGGCAACATATGAAACGAATTTTTGGGAACGCAAAATTCACGGAGTACGTGAGTCCAATTGGACCTTTTCTGACTTGACTGTTAGGTTCGGGGGGACACGAACAAATGTCTCAGCCAAAATACGTCTAATTTAGGCAATCTCAAGTCCCACAGTAATACATAGATGCTTCATATACATTAGGCGGAACGTTTCATGCCATTTTGGCAGCCGAGATCGGCTATTTATAGAGTTGTTACGAGCTTTAGTTGATTAAAGAGTTGAGTTTGAGTCAAGATTGAGTCTTTTTTCTACAGAAAATGCGTTTTCACCGTTTTGGCTTCAGTTTTTAGTTTTTTTTTTTGTATTTTTGTTGCTGTGTTTTCATGATTGATGCGTGTAACTACGCCCCTGCAAGAGAAAACGAAACACTTCATGGGCGCATCTTATCAGCGATAGCACTATTCACATCACTGTGAGAGTAATGTTCTTTGATCTTCTTCTTATTCAAACATAAGACTGTGTTCTTCTTTTGGTCTCTAAATACCCTGAATTGTCTCTAGTTTTGAATGATCTATCTTCATAGCTGATGACAAAAGAGAACTGATTAAACGACCATCGTGCAGAAAAAAATGGACGTACAAGGGGAAGAAAAATTTAACAACTGTTCTTTTTCCCACCATTGTTTATGCATTTGTGACTGACTTGTAGCATTATGATTTTGAAGTTTCCAATACTATTGCACTATAAATTATTGCATGGACTCTTTCATTGCAAAGTCAGGTGCTCTCTGCTTGTCAAAGCAACATTGTTACTAGCAGGATAGGCTTCAAATTCAAGGGATCTGCTATTTATCGAGTTACGAGTTACGAAGTTAAGTTTGAATTGAGTTTGAGTTAAGATTGAGTTACCAAAAAGATGCCTTTTTTCTACAGAATTTTTTTTCACCGTTGATTTGAGGTTTTTTTTGGTTGTAATTTTTGCGTTCGAGGTTCGAGAACGCAACCTCTAATTTGTGTTGGGTGTTATGTGCCTTATTGGGTGTCCTGTGCAATTAATAAGGGAGGTTACCGTTTTTGAGATTACATTTTCGTCGTCGTCGACATACATTTACCCCACTTTGAAGTGCTTGCTTACGTTTTGTCTCACTTTGTTTCGTGTGTCTTCGGCGTTCACTATTGAAAGGTTTGCTGAGGTGTGATATTCTGTCTTCGTAAAGCGTTCATCTTTTAAAAAGTTTGTTGAATCTTCGTAAAGCGTACATCGATCTGTGTTTGTTGAATCTTCCAAAGCGTTCATCTTTCAGAAGTTTGCTGTTAAATTTTACTTTGGATTAAGCCTTCATATTTTTCAGCATGGTTCGTCACTGTCTTTCGAAAATGTGTGCGTTTCCTGGTGCATGCGTCAAAACCAGGTTTAGTTCGGCTGCCTTTGTGTCACAAAGTAAATCTACCGAGTTGTGTAGCTCGGCAGCCGTTGTGCCACAAAGTAAATCTACCGAGATGTGAGGTTTGGCGGCGCCATTTGATCATGACTTTTGATATTTTCGGTACCAGGCAAACAAACACTTTAACTCTATGTTATTTATTAGGAAAAACTTTTAAACCAACCCACAGTAGCGCCACTCTCGAGTCACTGAAATCAACACGCTCGACCAAATTACTGGAAAAGTTATTGACGTGAGCCGCACACACATTCCACTGAAGGCTTTGACAGGGTTAGTGCGAAATTTGAATTCAGATGTGAAAGCTTTTAAAAGAGTAAATTCAGTTTAATTCATTTTGTCAACAAGTTGATGATTGGATGCTCTTAAAAATAACAGAGAAAACTATCCGAAGAAATGTTTTTAAAGAAAGAAAAAGAATCCCGGGTTAAGCACTAGTCGGCTTTTGAACAACTGCGCCCTGTAATCGCGCCAGTAAAACAAAAGTTAAAATGTTCTATTTACACGCCCGACGCACTCTGGCCACTGTCTTCTCCGATTACAAGCACTTGACACCGAACCTTATACGACATCTTTTCAAAATCTTCTTATAATGATACACAGTTTAAATAGAGGTTTCGTTGTACGCAACCCTTACGTTCAAAATATGCCATAATCATATTTATCTATCGCAAGAACCATCCAGTCTTCCCCCTCGACTGTTACCTGCCTGCATACGCCTAACAAACATATCGAACGCACTCTCCTAAGCTCCGATTACTCCTAGTTATTATTGCTTTTTTATGACTGGTGCGGGTAGGTACGCTCCTGCATTAGGAAATGAAACTCCTCAAGGGCGCATGTTACCGGAGAGCTCTGTTCACATGCATTTTCTAGAAAAGCAATATTTCGCACATAAAACCTTTTTTTAGTCGCTAGATACCCGGTACGGTCTCTTTTAACTGATCTCTCTTCCTAGACGATGCCAAAAGAGAAATAATTTTGTGAGGGGCATTGTGCAAAAAAATATGGAAAAAGAGAAGGAAAAAAATGGACTAATAACAGTACTGTTCTTTTAATCCCACGTTTTGTGTCCAGCGGTTTTAGTGAAAACAAGGGTTTGTGAGGGTTGCTCAGTCTCGCAGGCTCACAAACCCTTCCTTAGGTCGATCTTATTTTGTATTTGCCTTCCCCCACGGCTGTGTTCTGATCTTGCAGTTTCCAATTGCACTAATTGTTGCATGGACTCCTGATCACCTTCGTATTTCGTCATCCTGATCCCGCATTTTTCATTGCAGAGTGCCCTCTGCTGTTGCAAGCAACATTGTTACTAGCAAGGTCGGCTTTAAATTCAAGGTTTTTTCTGTCGTAGTGGCTATGGATCGAAACACTAGATATCCTGATGTAGGATCATAAGATAGTGTTTTGTCATTCTCCTCAAACACGACTTCAACTCCCACGTACTCTTGGGTTGCGTTGGATTGGGAAATCCGTATTTAGATTTAATTTGAAATCCGGATTTCGGATTTTGCAATCGAACGCGAAATCCGAAAACGGATTTTACCTCCGAGAAATCCGTCCTCAGGGTGGATTCCAATTAAGAAATCCAAATCCGGATTTCATGGATTTCCGTTTTACCATTCTATTAGGAAATCCGAAAAAGGATTCGCAAAACTGTTCTCGTGAACAGCGGTCTTTTTTGCCACTTACGCGTGCGCCAGCAAGACCGCTGTTCTTAAGGACAGTTTTTCAAATCCTTTTTCCTATTTTCCAGTCGAACGGAAAAAATGAAAATCCAAAAAGAGGTATCTCAGCGTTGAAATCCGTTTTCGGATTTCACGTTCGATTTCAAATCCGAAATCCGGATTTTAAAATCAAAATTCAGATTTCCCAATCGAACGAACCCTCGTGGACTCTCAGAGAAACTCGTCGCGTAGAAATGCCGGTCCATTGAGGTCAACAAAAAATGTCCCGTCCGGGTGGGGGTTAGTATTTTTCTGTTTTTATCCGTGACACTTCTAAATGAAGCATACATGAGGTAAAAACAACAAAACGGTCAAGGAGAACTGGAAACAAGTTTGAAAAAATAAAAAGAGATGGCGGTTGAAACGCGAAGAATTTTTTTGGGCTTTCAGAGACGTTTTCTGGAAATTTTCTTCGCGCTGGCTACCCCTCATGGGTTTAGGTCAAATTCAAAGGAAAACAAAAAACCCAGTTTTTGTCACATTCTTTGGTTTAAAAGACTGCGGTGGTTTTAAGGCAGACGAGAGATGTCACGATATCAGGTGGTACCGTTCGCGTTCTTTCTGTGCTGTTTCAGTTGATTTTTAATCGCGAATGGATGATCACGGCCCTATTACAAGCCAAATGCTTGAACTCGATCAATGAGTAAAATTTTAAAAAAACTTTTTCCTTGGTTCACACTCGTAGCCATCGCGTTAAAACCGAAAACATTATGAAAAAGAGTTCGCCAAAAAGCGCCTGTATTAATAACGGGCCACCTTAATTTCTGCAAGCATAGCAGCAATTATCAAGCCCGAACGATGATATTACGATATGGGCGACCGTTACCACTAAAAATACAATCATGTCAAATAGTACAGACAAAACGCAAATGATCTAGTGATGAATTACGAAGTGAGTTCAAATAATAAAGAAAAAACTCATTCTTAAAATAATATAGCCTGGTTGTTTTGTGTGAAATGCTTCACCTAAACTACAAACGATTCGGTCAAATGAGAAGCTGTCCACTGGTAGATGATAAAACGATACCGTCCAACAATTCCTCTTTTTAAATTGAAATTTGGTAAAAAAAAAAAAAAAAAAAAAAACATTCCTATGGCCCATAAATAAACAGCATTACGTCAGACCCCACATAGATTAGACAACTGTACAGTACCGCAAATGATCCCCAACCGTAAATGATCCCGAGACCGCAATGATCCCCAAAATGGACCGCAAATGATCCTCGACCGCAAGTGATCCCCAAAGTCGACCGCAAATGATCCCGAAAGAAAAACAGGAATGACTTGGACTTAAGTTGGCGGATCATCGTGTCGATTTTATTTTTATTACAAAACGTCAGATTAAAAGCTAAATTTTACTTCGAAAATAAATCTTTGAATAAAGACTAAATGAAAAAAAAAATCATTCAAGTCTAAAAACGAAGTCGGTAGGCAACACACGACTTTTACCTCATGCTAAAAAGCTGCTTGTTCAAATGAGTTTTTTTTTTCCGGTTCTGGCGGGTAGATTATACCTCTGAAGAAAACGATTTAACTGAGCAAATGTGATTTTTGCCGCTTATTTCATACTGAGAGGTCATGACACGCATTTTCTGCGGTTATTGTTGTTTCTAGTCGGCATGATTTTCCCTTTGATGCAAGAGCATTAGGGGCGTAGCCAGGATTTTTAAGGGGGGGGGGGAGGGTCACAGACAGGGGCACCATCCGGGGATCGCCGGCTATATAGGGTTTATACCGCTGCTCTCCCTCGTGTATCAGCGGGCTCAGTCGTATTATCGCGGCATGAAGGCTCATATTAACTAAAGACAAGAGCCGTTGACGAAAATACTTTACAAAAAAACAAATTTAAAAAAGTGGGCTTTTCAAGAATGGCTTTTACGGCCAAGATATTGTCATGGCGTTTTCGCCACCTGAATATTGTAGGTTGTTTGCTCAAAAGAAGGCCTACCAAGGGGAGGTCACGGGCACCCCAGGACCCCCCTTAGCTACGCCCCTGTGCATTTCCTTTGACCTCTTTTGAAATGCAGTGCTCTTCATTGCCGTTAAATAAGGGTTTTAGGTTGTTCAATTTTTTTCAAAGTGCCTCCTGGATCCGAATAATTATAAGCGGTTTTCTTTCTTGTCCGTGAATGTGACTGTTTCCTACGATGTTTTGTCACGCGATAACTACCGCTTACCTCGTCGCTTTTGCGTTTCTCATTACCAGGTTTAGATTCCTCGTAACTGTCTCCAGCAAAGGCACAACAAACGAATATACATAAAAGCGTCAATATAACTATTCGCAACATGTTCATGAGCTGTAAGAAAGTTGCTATTTGGAAATAAACCGAAACCTGTGGACATTGATAAGTTCGGGGGCATTTTGACGTGCCTTGTTTCGTAACGGCCACCTAAGTTACGAATAAATGTCTTGCTGTTTATCACGTAAAATTAACACTTCAGAGAAAAATCAAAATTAAATATTCTGAAAATTAATTTCACACTTTCATAGCACCGAAACGGCTCTTCTCAGAGTCTACAATGACATTGCTATGTCCATTGACAATCAAAAGTCTGTTGTTTTGGTTCTACTGGACCTGTCTGCTGCTTTTGATACAGTTGATCATTCTCTTCTCCTTGCTAGACTATCTACCCGTTTTGGCATTTGCGACCAGGTACTGGACTGGTTTAGTTCATATCTATCTGATCGCTCTCAGTATGTCAGAATCCGAGATGTCTCTTCTGATGTGCATGCCTAAACTTATGGTGTACCTCAGGGTTCCGTGTTGGGCCCCTTGATGTATTCTTTGTACACTTTCCCCTTAGGTGATATTGCAAGATCTCGTAGTCTATCTTATCACTTTTATGCTGATGATACACAGCTATATTTATCTTTTGAAACGTCATCGCCTGAGGATTTGTCAACATGTACATCTGCTCTTGAAGATTGTGTTAAATATATTGACCTTTGGATGTTAAATAACAAGCTGAAGCTGAACAGTGGGAAGACTGAAATTATAGTTTTTTCATCCTCCTATCGCCCACGTCCTGCGTTAAAAAACCTGGTGATTGCCTCTGACACTGTTGACTGTTCAACTTCTGCTAAAAATATTGGGGTTATTTTAAATAACTCTCTATCGATGTTGCCGCACGTTACTGCCGTTTGCAAGTCTTCGTTTTTTCATTTACGCAATATTTTTAAGATTCGCAAGTTTCTTTCTTACGATACATGTAAAACTCTAATTCATGCCTTTGTTACTGCAAGGATCGACTATTGTAACTCATTGCTTTACGGTCAGCCTTAATGTATCTTGAAACGTTTACAGAGTGTCCTAAATAGTGCTGCTAGGCTTATTCACCTTACTAGTAGATATGAGCATGTTACGCCGTTGCTTATTCAACTTCATTGGCTACCAATTGAACAAGGGATAACTTTCAAAATTGCAGTAATTACATTTAAGGCGCTTCATGGTGCTGCACCTAGCTATATCACTGATCTCATCAAGCCTTATACACCTGGTAGATTTCTTAGATCCTCCAATCAATTTTTACTTTCTACATCTAAATTTAATCTTAAAACTTATGGTGGCCGGTCTTTTACTATTGCTGCACCTTCTGTTTGGAATGCACTTCCATTCGAACTTAGATCTTGTAATTCCCTTTCTTCTTTTAAATCTAAGCTCAGGACTTGGCTTTTTAAAATTGGTTATGATGTTGTCGTGTAGAATGATGATGTTTTTATAGGATGACAATGTAGTTTTGTAGTTTTGTAGGTTTAGGATTTTGTTGTTATTTTTATTATGTAAAGCGCTTTTGGACCATTCGGAATTTTTATAGGATGACAATGTAGTTTTGTAGTTTTGGAGATTTAGGATTTTGTTGTTATTTTTATTATGTAAAGCGCTTTTGGACCATTGGGAATTAGCGCTCTATAAATATTGTATATTATTACTATTATTATTATATTAAAGCTCTTTTTATGTAGAGGGTGCCCGGCTTTGTATTCCTCAGCTTCTAAGCGTTAAAATAATCGAGTTTTTTCTGCGTTATGTCCTGCCTGTCTTAAATATTTCAGCGACGAAACATTCTTGAAAGAAAATTTGAGCAATTGACAAAGGAAGAAGTATACGGTTAATACCATATCCTTTTCAGAGTTATTCCTTTTTTTTTTTCGCCTTGTATAAATTGTCCTGAGATGTGGCGTCCTCCTTCCCTTTTCCTCTAAAAGGCGAGAGAAAAAGGTTTCTTTTTATAACCAGTCCTGTTTTTTGTAATCAGTCCCATAAAATCCATTCCATTCCCCAACTCCTTGTCTTGACTTGTCCATTTCACTTTTGTATTTTTGGTGGTTTCGGCGCCAACTAGTGTGTGTCATGCGAAACCATTTTATTTGATTTCAGGCCGCACTATTTGTTTCGTCGTACCTCCAGTTCAGTCTCGATTAAATGATTCGACATTATATTGAACCATTTGCGTATGACTTGAACCATTTGTAAATGTTTGAGTGAGTTCTTACTTTAACAAACCGTTACGCAACAGAGCAGCCGATTGTTCGTTATCAAGCTCTATCATTTCGCACAGGGTATATTGATCTTTGATTATTATTTTGAAAAACAAACCGATTCTTGTTTGGCGTTATCGTTATAACATCTACCAGTGGACAGCTTCTCATCGGACCAAATCATCTGTAGTTTAGGTGAACCATTTCACACAAATTATTTTACGAATGATCATTTCTTTATTGTTTGAGCCATTTCGTAATTCATCACTAGACCATGTACGTTTTGTCTGTGCTATTTGACATGATTGTGTTTTTGGTAACAGCTTTCCATATGACGATTGTGACGTCACGAGTGCGATACGTCTGCAATGGCACTAATTCATGTACTAATTTCCACACCGAGCCTCGTTTCTGAGAAAACGCTGAGTGGTGAAATTTGCTCACCTGGCGTAAACAAGCATAAGGGCTGTTAGATTTGTTTTCGGCCGCTCTCTTGGTCCTCCCCCACTGCACTAGCCTCATGTTGTGAAACTAAAGCGTGCCTCAAATACAGAGCTACATATTTGATATTGGAAAGAAATTGCTCTTCGAAATAATTATTCTTATTGATTTAGTTCTATTCGCGAAAATGAAGATTAATCCACAAATGACTTGGGCTTCGTTCCACGGTACGAACACTGTAAAACTACAGTGTTCCATTGTGTGGGGGTAAAGTTACGATCCTAAAATTTGTAGGTCGAAAAGTGAGTAAAAGTCAATGAAACCTAAACTGCAGTTAGTTGTTGTTGTTCTTAATGCTCACTCGGAGTTTCGTGAAATATGCTCAATTTCTCCCTCCATACAATAAAATAAACAAGGTAGGTCGCAAGATGAAATCTCAGCCGTCATCGTTTCCCTTACAACACGACCTTTCACAAAATTCGAACTCCAACGGTAACTAAACCGACGCTAGGTTCGTAGAAATAGGACTGCCCCTGATATAGAAACCAGTAAGGCTTCCCACCTATCGAAAGAGTTCCAACAGACGTTTTGAAGCTGGAAGAGGAGAATCCATTAACATGGCCGCTACCATGATGTATTTAACAGATCAACGCGCGGTGAAGCAAAGGAGGCTTAAGCCCTGTACAAAATCAAATCCACTCTGGGTTCTCGGGGTGGTCTTCTCAATCTCAAAACGCTGGGCCTTGGTGACCTGCGATTAATCCTAGAAAATGGAATCGCTCCTGAGAAGCCCTATCTGGTATTGTTTTCGTGCCAGCGCAAACGCTATACGTTGTAGTGTGAACATTGCCTCAGAATATTTACGGTTATGGAGCACTATGTGCTCAATTTATACTTCGATAAAACGCTATTTGAGTTAGCTTTAATGAATGTTCTACTCGATACACTGAAATCTGTAATGAATATGCCATATGAATATGCCTGGTCATATTTAACATTAATTTCATTGACTGAAATTTTCGCACTGATAAAGATCTATTTCTTAGTAATGAATAGACATCATTGTTGTGCTACCTCCAAAAACACTACCACCCCAGTCCCCCCTTTTCCCAAAGACCAGGAAGTACATATCTTGCATTAGATATGTATGCAACGAGTCTTTTTTCTTTTCTAGTATTTTATCTCAGAGCTAACACGCTATGAAAATCAAAGGGTTCTTCTTTCACGACTGCCAAAAATAATGATCCACGGTTTTATTTATTTCCAGTGTCTGGTATTGAGTGTCCAGTGTGTACCAATGTCAATGGATCAGGGGCAAGCAAATGCGACAGTGGTAAAGTTCCCAAAGTTACCTGCCCCGATGGATTGGATCAGTGTATCACCTTGAAAGGGAAGATGACGGTTCTTGAGTCGACTCAGGACTTCGAACAAAAGAACTGTTCCGACAACGCTTCGTGTGACTCAGCTAGCGACTACAACGGTAAGAACGTAACAGCAAAGAATTTCAACCCCCCCCCCTCTCCGAGAGAGACTCCCATATAAATTACACGTCGGGGATGCTGGGCGTGTCTTTATGGTGTAAAAAGTTCAGAGTTTGGTCTCGGTTAGTGTGAGTGTTGATGAGGTAAATGCTATTTTTCTGCCCATACAGATCTAGCTTATGGTAGTTATATAAAAATGTTAAAAAATACACAAAGAAAAATGAAGACACCGTCAATGCTGTATCGAAGACAGCATCAATTTCAACATCTTTCTTGCCATTAAGTTTTACTTCAGCTGTTAATTGGTTCGGGAATTTGGTTTCCTGTATTGGCACAACAATTCCCAGATGGTCTCTGTTAATATATAGGGGTTACAATAAGGCAAGGTCAAGCGTATAGATTCCATTAACGAATCGATTATTTGAAAAAATAAACCAGGTAGTCGTTGCTGCAACTACTAACAAATTCAAATCTGCATTCCTGTATGCGTAATGGGCAGTAAACTTTTTATTCTCTGTATTTGGTCAGATTGAAAATCTTTGAGTGGATAGAATTGCTTTAAAGACATTTACATCAAATTCATGCAAACCGAACAAGAGGAAATTTCATAACTACCTCGCGTATCAATTCACTGCATGTTTGAATGCAGGGATGAATCTGAAATCTACTTCTACAAATTAACGGATTCAATTTTTGAATAATGAAATCATAAATGGATCTTGGGGGGTACGCTTAACTTTGAATTGCTTGACTGTAAATTCTAATTTTCCGAAGAGGATCCCTGCACTTCTGATATGGGAGTCACCTCCTATATATCAGCAGAATAACTCCAATCCTTCTTTTTCAGGGTGCAAGGTCCTTAACATGACGGGCTCTCTTACTTCATGTTCGCTTACCTGTACCACACCGGATACCACACCGGACGCCACACAGGACACCAGTGGAGTGAAAAAACTGGGGCCAAGGGCATTCTTTGACGCCATGTTTTTGTTGGCCTTAATTCACAGTGATTTTCTGAGGATTTCACTCAAAGGTTTTTTTTTTCTTTTTCAATGTTAACCATGAATTAGTTTGAAAGTTAAAGCCAAAAGGTTTTGCACTCGTGTTAACGAGTTTGAAAGAAGAATTTTGACTCAATAAAATACATTGTGAACAAACCGTAATATTTCCCTTATTACGTTAATTAAAAACGTTCTTTCTTTAACATTTAAGAGTGAATGTCCGTAATCGGAAAAATCGTAAACGAACAAAAGCGCTAAAAAGCTCCGAAATAACAAGAACCCAGGAGCCCAAATCCATCTGAAGTTATATGCCTAAGACACGTACTTTATCTGTCTGTTTTATATTAATGAGGATAACTGATGAACATGGGACTCATAGATTCTATGATGTCTTGAGATACCCTCCATCTCAACCTCGTCTCCATTGCGCTTTTCCCTGGATTTTGGTTAAACTGAGATGGACACAAGCGATAGTCACTGCTGTCTCACATTTTCTGGTCCAAAATAGGGTCAAGATTTTGAGAACAGGACAGCACACCCCCAACAGGAGTACCCCCCCGGAGACCTCAAACCTGGTAGCAAGTTTACCTGTGAGCACCCACTTGCTAATTACCAGATGCTTTAACGCTCTATGATAATTTCAACACCATCATTTTGGATTAAGAAATCGACGCAAGTTTTATGTTTGCATCTAATCTAAGTAAAGCTAAAAATGGCCTTTTGTCTCCACTTCCCCACGACTATACACGGCCGAACACAGAAGGCAACGTTTTGAGGCAAGGGCGAGTACACGGTCAGCATAGTCCACCTTAATAGTAAATAGCAGTAAATAATTGCGAAAAATAGCTCATCAGAACTCCATCAGGGGGAACCTCAATCTCCCATACAAGCCCTTGGAGCCAACACTATCCCGAGCAGATTTATCAACAGAATGGTCCGCAGAGAAGGCTTCGCACGCCAACATCATCAGTTATCACTATTATCATCCTCCTCATCATCATCGTCATGATAATCATCATCACCACCCTCATCATTGTCATCATCATAGTCATCAGCGGCAGCAGCAGTAGAAGCATCATCATCATCATCAGTACCATCTTTAATATCATCACATCAACATCTTCACCATTATCACTATCATCATCATTACAAAACCATTTTCATCACCATCATCATCATCGTTGTCGTCATCGTTATTACACCTGTTTGGCAGAAAAACATGTTGAAAAAGAGGTGGAGTATATGCCAGATTCGCTGGGACACCATTGTTATTTTATTTCACAATCTACATAAACGCTCCAGCTTAAAAAAGGGCTCAATTTTAATATGCAAAAAATTACTTCATAGCCGAAACTATATATTGACTGCAATGATTACGGCACAGTATATGTATTTTGATTACTAAATTACATTTACAACACAAGGCACAACAACTTTCCGTGCTTGATGAGCCGACTCTTCCAGACCCATTTCAAGAAATAACTAACTCAGACATAGAAGAAGCCGGCGATGAAAATACCATGGTGCTCGATGAGGACTCGGATGTTGACATTGAGCTGTAAGAACTACCAGTACCATATACCGTCATGGATTTGTAGACGGTTTAGACTTATCAGCGGACAGACCTGATAGTCTGCTAAAGCTCTGTCATTTAGATTATTATAATACCGTATTTAGGTTACCATGTTACAGTTATTAGAATAAACGCCTCTTATCTTTTAAACGCCCCCCCTTGGACCCTTGAAATTTAATAAACGCCCCCGGCGTTTATTAGATCATTTACGGTATGTACATTGTGACCATTAAGAAGAAAACGCATTTAGTTAATATCCAGCAAAGGGAGTTACGGTGCATGACTGAAGTTCAAGACAATCTCGAGAATTTAGCCAAAAAATAGAACAAAATGCTGGTTTTTCTCGTCTGTGGGCTTACCCTATTGTTCACACCTAACGGTAGGTTCGAAGACCATCATGTTTGCCCGGCTCGAGGCTCTTTTAGAAAACAAAATTAATCCGTGATCATCATAATAAATATTTAGGCGGTGATGTATAACAACGAGAATATATAAAAAGTAGATACGAAGAATTTTCAATTTCAGTCCTTCTTTGAAATTAACTTTGACAGTTTTTCTATGCAATTGCCTGCATACGAAATTTATGGCACCCCAATAGATATTTGAAACGAACGCATTGATCCGCGTTGCAGGTGCTTGTGACAGCATAATTTCCTCCCTTTCAAGCTATATCGACCATTTATTTAGTTGTTGGTTAAGTAAGATCCATGCTCAGAGAGTCATGTTTGAAGCAAGCGCAGGTTGGTTATGAACTGAAAACTACATTTCAAATAATGCGGGTCCTTCTCTGTTAACTTTTTTTTCTTGCCAAAGTTCATGAACTGGCCTTTTCTGTCATATTTTTAGTATCTGTTTTGCTCGCTTTTAAACGGCATATTCGCAAAAGTTTGGTGAGACCAAGTACAGTAGAACCTTAATACAATGAATGACTAAGGGATTGCCATGTAAATATGATCGCTATAAATATGTTTACTTTATATATCAAGGTTCTTTTCTATATATTCTACTATTACTGGGGCGAAGAATATCGCTCGTTATTTATACCGCGCGACGAACTCGCGACAGTGAGGCTCAAGGCGCCGTAGAAAACTTCATCAAACCGTGAGTAAAATAGACATTTTGAGAATGGACCTCTAGGGCCAGAGAAATCAACGCATTCCTGGTATTTCAAAGAAAAATGATCAGAGTTCCAAGATATTTTGATGGACGCTGTAGAGACGTTATTTCCTATTCAACCAAGCCTTGATTCAATAAACAAAACTAACTATTAAAACCTTTACAATTAATTTCGCTGAAGAAGAAAAAAAATCGAAGTTTTTTCCTGTTCAGTCCAGTCAGTAGTTTAGAAAGTCACGACACACCTTACCTCGGAAGAACTTGACGGTCAATTACCGTAAATACAATATTTTCTAAACCGCACGTCCTTCATTAAAAATAACTCCCTTTTATGGGAGCGAACAAAACCAGACATTATCGAATCACAAATACTGTGTAAAAAATCAACCTTAGAATAAGATGCTAATTTTAGATGGCGTGTGGGGTTGGTGTAATTTCATTAAACTTTTTTAAAATATATAAAAATGAGATATGCCCTTTTCACAATCAAAAAGCGTTGAGTTCCTTTATATCAGTGGCCTGTAAAGTTTTATTATGTACTGTGGAAGTGTTATTGGCCAAGCTTGTTCAATTATGTCCAGGATTTACAAAATTAACGATTCTTCGCGATGGCCTAGCGAAAACTGCAAAATTTACAAAATTCGCGATTTTTGGCCAAACGAAAAAAGGCGCTGCGAATCTAACAACCTGTTCCCCTTTCTTATGTATATGTAATCACATGGGCCCGAGGGCAATTAAGAGCAGATGTTTGTAAATATCGACCAAAGGTAGGAAAAATAAAATTTTTAAAAAATCCCAAAAAATAATGTAGACTACCCTAGGTATTCTAGTAACGAACATATAAATTTCAGGTTTATTGGATAAATATTTTGTTGATACGGCGAATGTCAAGTGCTGGCGATAAACGGCCTCCGCCAGACCGCCCCTGGACCGGGTGACGCAAAGACGGCGATTTCAATCGAATTCAATTATCACTCAACACCCAACAGCTCTTATCGTATTAAAAGGGTTTTAATACACATGTTGAGAGGTCATGTTCTTGAATTGATCACAGATGGAATATTCTATGCATTTTTAAATATTTACAAAATTTAAAGACTTTCACCCGCGCAAAATACTGTTAAATTTCAAAGCCTAAAATCACATCCGATACATGATTTCAAACAGGAAAAGACGTTCCACATGAAAAAGCAATCTCTAAGCTTCTTTCAAAACACTGGGCAACATATGAAACGAATTTTTGGGAACGCAAAATTCACGGAGTACGTGAGTCTAACTGGACGTTTTCTGACTTGACTGTTAGGTTCGGGGGACACGAATCAATCCTCCAACAAATGTCTCAGCCAAAATACGTCTAATTTAGGCAATCTCAAGTCCCACAGTAATACATAGATGCTTCATATACATTAGGCGGAACGTTTCATGCCATTTTGGCAGCCGAGATCGCCTATTTATCGAGTTGTTACGAGCTTGAGTAGATTAAAGAGTTGAGTTTGAGTCAAGATTGAGTTAAGTTTGAGTTCCCAAACTGCCTCTTTTTCTACAGAAAATGCGTTTTCACCGTTTTGGCTTCAGTTTTTATTTTTATTTTTTGTATTTTTGTTGCTGTGTTTTCATGATTGATCCGTGTAACTACGCCCCTGCAAGAGAAAACGAAACACTTCATGGGGGCATTTTATCAGGGATAGCACTATTCACATCACTGTGAGAGTAATATTCTTTGATCTTCTTCTTATTCAAACATAAGACTGTGTTCTTCTTTTGGTCTCTAAATACCCTGAATTGTCTCTAGTTTCTTATCTTCATAGCTGATGACAAAAGAGGACTGATTAAACGGCCATCGTGCAAAAAACATGGACGTACAAGGGGAAGAAAAATTTAACAACTGTTCTTTTTCCCACGATTGTTTATGCGTTTGTGACTGACTCGTGGCATTCTGATTTTGCAGTTTCCAATACTATTGCACTATAAATTATTGCATGGACTCTTTCATTGCGAAGTCAGGTGCTCTCTGCTTTTCAAAGCAACATTGTTATTAGCAGGATAGGCTTCAAATTCAAGGGATCTGCTATTTATCGAGTTACGAGCTTGAGTTGAGTTAGAGTTAAGTTTGAATTGAGTTTGAGTTAAGATTGAGTTACCAAAAAGATGCCTTTTTTCTACAGAATTTTCTTTCACCGTTGATTTGAGGGTTTTTTTTTTGTAAT